CTCTCCTCTCTCTCTCTCTCTCTCTCTCTCTCTCTCTCTCTCTCTCTCTCTCGCTCTCTCTCCCGGTCCATATTCCCTACGCAACGGTTCAGCGCCGCGCACCGAGCCGTTAGATGGAACGCCGATAGAGGCCATATTTTCCCCATTAAACCGCCGGAGCGTCTCGAACTCGCGCAGTTTGACCGGCCTGCGGAACACCGCGCCCGTCAGCGAGAGCGAGCCATTGTCCGCGTCCGCGCGTGTGCCGTTGCGCTTTCGATAATCCGAAATTCCCCCCCCCCCTCCCGCTACGAGAGAACTCGCCGATTCGGTCGATCGACGCGCGCGATACCCGCTTGTTTTTCCGTCTCCCGGTGCGAGTCCTGGGGCCCTCGAGTCGAGCGGGACCGGGACCGAAAATTTCCACCTCGTGTTTTCGTTGAAATCTCCCAAACGAGTCGGGGGGGGGGGAGGGGGGAATCGGAAGGTCACGTTCGCGGAGCGCGAGCGCGGCCGCCCATATGGACATACTCGCTCTCGTCGTGGGACCTTTGTCACGAAAATACGCGGCGGGGTGCGGCACGCGATTCGACTCGGGGCTGCCCCGCGTTTCGGCCGCACGCTCGTCGCGCTACGCCGCGCCGGAGAGGAGGCAACGAGGGTCTCTCTCTCTCGCTCGGGCGTCGAAACAGCTAGACGACTTCCTCCCTTTTGTCACGAGCGGCGTTCAACCTTTTACCAGATCGCTTTCCCCGCTCGCGTCCCGCTTTCCCACGATATAGATTTACGAAAAACCTGGACGACGGCGGCGCGACATGCGGGCCGCCCCGGTTCGCCGGCGGCTACGTAATTGCGATCCTAATCGTCTAAACGAGTGGGAATTGAGGAGCACGGGTGTAGAAGTGCGGCCCATCCACGCCTCGTTGGACCGCCGTGCGTGAAACTTTCGTCGACGCCGACGCCGTTCCTCGTCCGCGCGAGCATCGATCGCGCTCCGAGAGACGCGCTAAACGGTCGAAAAACAACGCTTGATAGCGGACACTCGACGCCCGCTGCGCCCGTAGCCGCTTAACGACGGTACAAAGCGCAGGGGGGCGTGACAAAAGACACACAGCCGAATAACGATTTAACGGCCGCCGGGGCCCGCGGAGTTGCATTCTCACAGTCGAATTTATCGATGCGCCTCGCCGCGCCTCGCCTCGCCTCCCGCTCGCCACGCGCGCGGCCGCCGATCGACGCTCGATCGTCAATGGTCGGCCAATCAATTCGTTGCCGAAACGCGGGCGTTGCCGCGCGCGAATTCGCGCGTCGCGACGCCCTCGATCGGGCGTTCGTTACGTTACGCGCGCGCGAGAGGAGCCGGCTCGAGTTCTCGATTGTAAAACAGAAGGAGAGTCCTCTGTTACGAGACAGGCGCCTAATACGAGATAGCGGGGTTTCCGCTTCCAAATTAATGGACATCATCCGTCGGTCCCGCCGCGTAATTGTCCAAGAGTTCACTCGCGAAATGGACGCGTCGAAAAGCCGCTCGGCCCCGTGCGCGTGCATCATATCCTGAAAGAGAGCCCCGGGGCTTTATCTCGCGGCGGCCAGGGACAGCCGGCGACCGGCGATGGTGCACGGGGGAGACGGCGAACGTTCGGATTCGCCAAAGGCTTGCGCGCGAGCGGGGACCTTTTCACGCGTGAGTCACGTTTTATAAAAGCTATTGGGATTGATGAGAAAATGGGCCCCCATAGAAAGATATCACGCTGCCAATGCCGGCGAATAAATTTGTCTGCCCCGCCGCAGACGCGTTCGTTAAGCTGCGAGAGCGCGCACCCCCGTCGTCGCGTCGTCGCGCACTGGAATAAAGTGCCGTTTCAGTGCTTCGCCGTTTCGATAAAATGCCCCCGCGGCAGCGAGCCGATAGCACGCTATCTCTTTCCCTCTTTTATACGCCGTAGTCTCGGCCGCCTCTCTCGAAGACGCAAATTCACGCCGGCTCCGAGAAGCATAAATTTATACGAGGGGGAGGGAGGGGGCGGAGGGGGAGTTTGTGGGTGTTTTTATCGCGTGATTTAATTACGCGAATGCAATGTTTACAGCGGCGGTCGGTCCGCTGCTTTTTTTCCCCCGATTTATCTTCGCCGTCGTCGGCCCGAGGCGCTCCGTCCATTTTAGCCTCGTGTGTGAGCGTCAACTCCATTTGGGCGTACACACGCGCCCTTTGTAGTGAAAGGGTTATTCGTCGCAGGAAATGTCGAATTTAAGATGTCGCGTCCGAAAGCGGAGGCAGCGTTAAAAGCGCGTGGATATATACACGGGGACAATTTGGATCGATACTTTTCTTTTAACAACCCATACCTCGCGAACTGTCGTATACTCTTTTTTTTTTTAATTCTGTCGCGCAGCAGGAGTCTCTACGTTGCTCTAAATTCCCAGTGGAAAAGGGAGCGAGAGAATTTCTCGGAAATTCGACGGCGCGAAATTTCGCGGAAATTTAATTCGCCCGTGACGACGTCTTCCTAAAAGTGATTCGCGACGGAAACCGGCAAGGCCGGAGTCGAAATTTTCTACGGGAGACTCGGTATCCGTCTCGGCGTAGAACTTTTACTGAGCGATCGCGCTTCCGCGGGCAAGTTTCCCGCATTCTACGTATCTCGTTCTTGATTACTCACGCTGAATCTATCCGCCGAAGGAAATGGGCGATTACTCCTGAATAAAACAGTCCTTCCGCTCGTGTCTGCAGTGAGACAGCATAAAGTCCAATGAACCACCTTATTTCATGTATAATAGATATTCCCGACGACGAAAGAGAGCGAGCTCGGGGGGCCACTTTTTCTGGATACTCCGCGTGTCCCGACTCGAGGGGCTTGGGGCCCCGAGAACCCAATAACGCATTCCCGTTTGCACGGCCGTTTCTTTCGCCAACGGAGGAACACGCGAGGACGTATATATAAACATTTGTGTCATTTCGGAGCGGAGTTCACCCAGTATTCTGTAATCTCTTTTTACATTCCGCGACTACACCCTCTCTCTCTCTCTCTCTCTCTCTCTCTCTCTCTCTCTCTCTCTCTCTCTCTCTCTCTTCGAGGCGTCTCTGTAAGAAATTGGAAGCGAACGGGGGGGAAAAAGGCGTGCGCGCGATGAAAGGCGAGTGTTGGAAACGCCTTAAAGCACGGCGAGAGAAAGAGAGCGGGAGAGAAAAGGGAAGAGAGTGACAGAGAGAGAGAGAGAGAGAGAGAGAGAGAGAGAGAGAGAGAGAGAGAGAAGCGCGGATCGCGGTGGCGTATCGCCGTCCGCTGAATGGTATCCGTTGAAAGTTTCCCATAACGCGATATTAAGACCTCATTAGCATGATAAACTCGGGACGGGACAGATACAATGGCGCCTTTCATCGAGCGAACGCTTCCACGAAAGCGCGAGCGTTGCGAGCTTTCGCCCGCCGTGGATTCCAAATACGCCGGGAATCGACGCGCGTCCACCTACGGCGCGATATCGCCGCTCGTTCGCGCGCTGTTTGCGCATAGACGGCATAGCGCGGGCCTTAATTGTTGTCCGCGCGAGCTCGTACCAGCTGCGCCGTTGATAAGACGCGGGGGAGGAAGAAGAAGTGCTTCGCAGCTCTTAATTGATCGCGATCCGCGGAGGGTCTCGAGCCTGGAGACTCCCGCGTCCTCGGACTCCGCAGGTCCCGTAATCAGAAAAAAAGATCTAGTCGGGTTAAACAGATGAGACACGTTGAAATCACATTTCTTTGAATCTATTATACTTCGGTTTTATTTACTTCTGCTGAAACATTTGCTAGATTTGCAGACGTAGATATGAGTTTCTCTTGGAAATTCCAGTCTCGATCAAATATAACATTTTGGTTAAGGTAAAGAAATCATGTCTTTGAAAGTAACTGAAAGCCTATGTATGATCAAAATTCAAATCTATTTCTGTGATTTCTAACAAACTTTTTCCCTGGGTGTGAACTCGCTGGTCGTCGAATCTTTCGGGATTCGCCTCGTTAGAGCCTCGAGCGCTTGAGTCTGATCTACAATGTGCCTCTTGCGTTCAGAATTCTATTTTGTGAGTAATAAATTCGTTTACAAAATTTGTGCAAGTTGGTACGATTGTACATCATACATTATACAATCGTACGTTGT